ATTTTAGATACTCCTCATTTGTTGGAATGTTTGGTGCATGACTAATGCAAGATGATTAAAATTTTATTAATCTTCAATAAGAATAATGTAACATATTTATTATTTTGTTGTCTTCTGGCATGACAGTGTGTAGTCTGGTAGGTTAGAGCAAAGACAACCCACCATTATAATCCAGAAGACCACAGTACAGCTCTTCTGCTGTGAACATGTTCAAATCTTGTTCAGATATAGGTTAACTTCTTTGATGTATTCTGAATTGTTAATCGTTTTCTTCCATCTTGTATTAATATTTATATAAAATATATGTATTGAATTTTATATCGATTCTAGCCATATAGTATATTTTCTCAGAAAGTTACTTAGACAGGGCTTCTTTTCTCTATTTGTGTTGTCCTGTGTAGGCAGGGAACTCATGACAGGCTGACCCCCTGTCCAAGGAATCTACCAAATCTCATCAACTAGACTCTAAAACCTGGAAAACAAAGAGGTTTTGGACAATATTGTTCAGTAATGCAAGACACATGAACCTTAATTTCTGTGGAATTAAGGTTCTTTCATTGGCCCATAGGCACAGTGCCTAATTTATTAAGCACAGGGGCCTCCTTGACTTTACTTTGTGGTTTAGTGTGAACTGTTTCATTTATTTCAAGTTCTCAAATTATGGAATGTAACTGTGCTGATAATTTCTAAACCAGAATGCAGGGCAAAATCATGACATAAAGATAGCTAACAGATGATTTGAAAATGTGGCACATTTCAGATATTTGGGAATGACTATAACAAATTAAAACCTGATTCAGGAGGAAGGTAAAAGGAGGCTGAACCTTTTTGCTTCTTGCCTGTTGTCTAAAAACATAAAAATTAGAACAGATTTTCGCAACCTGTGGTCCACAAACAGACTTAAATTAAATTGAATTAAAAATTATCCAACCAATACAAATTAAAATTAAATAAGCAAGTAAAAATTAATTATATCATTCTTTATATGTTTAATAAAGCTTAAAACTTTGCTCAAAGATGATTCACTTTTAATAGTTTACTTCCAGTTTAATCAGTTATGTTTCCAATTGCATACAAAACATGCTTTTAGATTTATTATGTTATAAATGGCACAGTCTGTCCCAAATGTTGGTAATTCCACATAGGTTTAAAAAATAGGCCTACATAACTTAGTGGTCTGTAGAATTTTTTCAGACATTTTACTGGTCGTTGGACTTAAAAAGGCTGAGAAACACTGAATTAGAATATAAAAAGAAGTACATCAAAGGCTGTAGTTAAATCTAAAAATATGCCCATAACTAACAGCTTATTATCTAATGCTTTCTGGATATCCTCTATGAAGGTTTTTGTTGCCGTATTGGTAGGTTTCTTCTCTCTGAAGCCATTTTGAGCCCCAGATATCATGTTGTGTTCAAGTAGGTCAGTACTCTTTTTATATATTAATATTTCATGAACTTTGAAAAGAACTGGAAAAATTGAACTTGGTCTATAATTGGAGATTTCTTGTTTTCCTCCTTTTTTGTGAATAGGCCGAACTTTTGCAATCTTCATCAAATTTGGAAAGGTTCCAGAACATAATGAAGTGTTACATACAAAGGTTACTGGTTTACTGCTATACTGAATACTTTCTTTCACTAACCTTTCAGCTATTTTGTCCCAGTCAGCTGAAAATTTACCCTTTAGTTTCTTGGTTACATATAAAACCTCTTCTTCAGTAAGTGGAGCAAGAAACATGGAATTAGAGATTAATATTTCATTATTAAGAGTGTCATGACCAAATTTACAACCCTTACAACAAAATCTTATCAACATCTTCTATGAAAAAAGCATTAAACTGATGAATATCCTGGGGATTTGAAACTAACATGGAGCCTATTTTTAAAGAATCATTTTGATTTGTTTTTTTTTTTCATAATCCCCTGATTCCTTTTTTATTATTTGCCATGTTGCCCTGGTATGGTTTAGTGACCTTGAAATAACTGCCATTTTCTCTTTTTCATGCTTCAGATATCACTTCCTTAAAAGTAATTTCGTATTTCTTCATATACAAGTAGTTCAGTGTTTTACCACTTCTCCATTTGATATATGATGGGGTAAATCATTTATATATAATAAAATAGGAGCAGGCCCAAAATAGACCCTTGAGGTATTCGAGTTTTGTATTCCTCAGTGTAGAACTGTACCTATTCATAGAATATTTCTTGTTATTAGAGGTTATTTCTACATACTGAGAATGCAGTGTGGGATAGGATTTTAACCAAACATTAATTTTCCCTCTTATTCCATAATGATCTAATTTTTCAAGAAGTATATCATGATCAATAATAGCAGCTGCAAATGATCGCCTGTACAGTCCCAACAAAGGATTGACACGCAGATATGGCAGACTTATTTTTTCTGGAACCCATATTGATTTTCCGTTAAAATCTTAAATTTAATAATAAAAGACACCAATCTGTTATACCCTATTTTTTTGACAATTTTTTGAGAATATACATAACAGATATAGGTCTGTAATTACTAATTTCATGTCTATTACCCTTTTTATAAACAGGTCTAATTTTTTCAATTTTCAATAAATCTGCAAGTATGCCCTAATTTATGGATTCATTAAATATGAAATTATGTGTTTTTTTGTACATGTGATACATGCTTTTACTAGAAAATCAGGAATTTCAGCAAATTCTACAGAGGCTCTGCCTTTTAATTCGGATACTGCTGTAACTATTTACATAGCGTTTGGGTTGCAGTCCACTACTTTTTGTAATGATCTACCACTACCTTTACTCCTATTTTCCTCAACTAGTTCTACCTTATCAATAAAGTAAGAATTTACAGTATCTGCCACCTTCTGAGGGTGAGTTATTTTCTTTAAATTATTTTGTAACTGATATATCCCTTAACTTCCCATTTTTTTTATTAACTAACTGCCACATCATTTTAGTTGGGTTTGACACACTTACTATTTGTTTGTCTTTTTTTTCTAGCTTCTGAGATAAGAGTTTGACCTCTTCTTTCACTGTTTGTGGTGGCCCTTAGATCAGCACCTGGCTTTATGATTCTCTGGACTTCAAAATCATTGTCCAGGTTGTACGTTACCTTGGATGCACATGCTCTTCCATGGCTATCCCCCACGATTAAAATCCTATGCTGCTTCTTTTTTGGTGATGTTTGGTTTTTGTAGTGTTTTCTTGTTGATTCTCGGCAGAATTAAAGACCTGGGTTTCGCAGTCTTCCCTATTGCAAGGTAATTTGTAGCGATTATTTATGATGGGTATTCTATAAATGTTTTCCCGTCTACCATTGGCAATTCTCTTGTGCTTTCCAGTCACTACATCAGTCCACTTTGGTTCGATTGAAGTTTGTTCACTAACGGTTTCACATAAACTTTCTGCTGATATAACCTCTTTCATTGACGGTCTTACGGATTTTGCTGAAGCGTCATTTAAATTCTTAATATAACAGCTTGATTATGAATTTAGATGAACTCAACTCTAGTAACGCTTCTTTTAACTGGCTTTCTAATGTGACACAATTATCACATCTATGAACAGCATAAGCTTGGTATTGACTAAATTGGTCGGAGCAAGAATCAAGCAAGACACCAACTGCAGCCATCCTGAACTTATTCGTAAATAACCGATATAGTTCATTTACATTCTTTTCCAAGTAAATTTCTTCCCATAATTCATTATTTAGCATGACCGAACTTATCTACATCCTCTTTAGAGAACTTTCTTTGCAGTACCCTTTTTAACTCTATATTTTGTGTTTTTATGTCCACTTGTAGGATCTGGGCTAGGTGGTCACAAAAACCCATATTTACAATCTCTATATAGTTCTTATCAACTGTCTATTTGTAACCATGACATCCATCAAACATTCGTAACTACTGGTAACTCTTGTTGGTACAGTAGCTGTATTTATTAAATCATAAGATACCAGTATATTTTCAAGTGCCTGTACCTACTCATTATCTTGGAGGTTTATGTTCCAGTCTCCACAAATTAGTTTTTTTTTTTATGTATTCTGTCAACAAGTGTTCTTGGTTTGTCCAAAAAGTATGAACATCACTGTGAGGAGATCTGTAAATACAGATTAATAACCATTTCAATGCTACAGTTTGTAATGCAGATATCTCAAAGTGTTGTTCACAGCCTAGGTTATTAAGAGACGTGATTTCCCTAGTACTTAACTATTTGTTTATAAATATACAGGATCCTCTGTTTTTACAACCCTTCCTACAGAATTTACTAACCAGTAAAAAATTATTAATCTCAAACAAGTCTAGTTGGGCTTCTGCCAACCAATGTTCTGTAAAGCACCAGGCATCTATACTTTGTAAACTAGTATTTAAGAGGACTGATAATTCCATTCGATATCGTGTAGAATTTCAAATTTATTTCTTAAATTCAACTTTACTCTCCTTTCTCATTTTTGGTTATTTATAATTTGTCTAGATCTGTCCATAAAAAATTGAACTTTTTATTGGTATTTTACAGAGTCGTTTTGGCTGAAGCTCTGTTCGATTATCAAGTTTGAAATCATCTCTTCCACGCTCATTATTTATTGTGTATTGTATATGCCTTCCAAACATGAAACATTCTTCACCGGTGATGTTTCACAGTTGTCTGAATGGATCCAGTAAATTTTTCTCCTTTCCATTTAATCCCAACTGAAGTGTTTTTCACATTTGCGATATTTTTGCACCATAACTTCTTTACCTCTCCCATTTAAATGCAAAGCATGATTTGTATATAATTCCAGACAGTTTTCCACTTCAAGAAAATGAAGATTTTCGAAACCCTTATTATAATTCATCAGCTTTCTACTGAAATTTTTTACCGCACTGTTTACACAGGATCTCTGCTTGCGGTCATGGTTATAAGGAACTTTTATTACACCCAAATCTGTGTGATTCTGCCTAATTACACGGTCATTCATTTGCCGGAGACCATTCTCACCTTCATTTTTCTATACATCGCGAACCCCTCCCCACACAATAAACACGTCTTTTTGTGAGCTCACAGTTGAATTATCGTAGTAGTTATCTCTTTGATGTTTATCCAGGTTAGACTATGCCTATGGAGTTCATTTGCCATACCTCTCGCGTGGCCAACACCCATCTTTAGGACTCTACTCCCACTTCCCCTACTATTCTTCTCACCAGTTGCCATTTGACCGTTACATAGAAACCACGAGCACAGCGGGAACACTTCTTTTCATCAGTACCACTCAACTGCTGAGTCTTATTTCGAAAGCCCAAAGGTAAGACAGCGCTATAGTCACTTTTAGGCATATGTGAAAGGCCTGTGACTAGACAACACAATGTTTTGATTGATTATTTAATATACAAATAACGCTATTTTTACAATATAGAACATAAGCACAAACAATAAAATTCTTTAATAATATAAAACAAATGCATTACCTCCACAAGGCTCCACAATAACTGCACTCTGTTAGTTCTTATAGCACGCAACTAGTTTGGCCGTGGCGCCACTGCCTTCACTCACTTGCCCTAATGATAATATGTACGCACATTGTTCTTGCGTCACGTACTTTACGTTTAGTACTAAGAAGAAAACCCGATCAAAACGGACACACTTCTTTTTATCAATAGCACTCAACTGATGCTTGTCTGCTGGAAGGCACAGACATCGAAGATATCCCTCGCATTCTCTGCTGCAACTGAACCAGCAGTTGGTTCTGATCCTCTAGCATCTTCTTCATTGAATCGATCTCCTTCTGCGTTTCGGCATGGAATTGGTCTTGCAGCTCCCTTCCCTGTTTGATTGCATGCACCTCCCCATTCAATCGAGCGAATCGCTGGTCTTCCTTCTGCACCAAGTCTCGCACAGTCTTCATCTGTGGGATGAGCCCAGTACTCTCATGAAACAAAATGCTCATGAGCTCCTGTTCTGTTTTGCCTTCCCTACGCCACCACCGTCGATATATATAACGTGGGAGATAATACAACACATTAATAATGAAGACTGGGATGAGCTCAAAAATCAGCGGGGCAAGGAGCGTCCACAAATTCTGGAGTTCTGTTGGTGTGCCCCATCCTTGAAAGTCCCAGGACTGCGCGGATTCCATTTCTTCTGCTGAGGCGATGGTCCCGACTGGGATTGTTTCGGATGCTGGAGCTGGTTCTGGCGGTGGAGTTGGCTCGGGCGGTGGAGTTGATTCGGGTGCTGGGGCTGGCTCGGGCGCTGGAGCTGGTTCTGGCGGTGGAGTTGGCTCGGGTGCTGGAGCTGGTTCTGGCGATGGAGTTGGCTCGGGCGGTGGAGTTGATTCGGGTGCTGGGGCTGGCTCGGGCGCTGGAGCTGGTTCTGGCGGTGGAGTTGGCTCGGGTGCTGGAGCTGGTTCTGGCGATGGAGTTGGCTCGGGCGGTGGAGTTGATTCGGGTGCTGGGGCTGGCTCGGGCGCTGGAGCTGGTTCTGGCGGTGGAGTTGGCTCGGGTGCTGGAGCTGGTTCTGGCGATGGAGTTGGCTCGGGCGGTGGAGTTGATTCGGGTGCTGGGGCTGGCTCGGGCGCTGGAGCTGGTTCTGGCGGTGGAGTTGGCTCGGGTGCTGGAGCTGGTTCTGGCGATGGAGTTGGCTCGGGCGGTGGAGTTGATTCGGGTGCTGGGGCTGGCTCGGGCGCTGGAGCTGGTTCTGGCGGTGGAGTTGGCTCGGGTGCTGGAGCTGGTTCTGGCGATGGAGTTGGCTCGGGTGCTGGAGCTGGTTCTGGCGGTGGAGTTGATTCGGGTGCTGTAGTTGGTTCGGGCGCTGGAGCTGGTTCTGGCGGTGGAGTTGGCTCGGGTGCTGGAATTTCTTCTAGTCCTGGAGTTAATTCGGGCGGTAGAATTGGTTCGAGTGCTCGAATTTGTTCAAATGCTGAATTTAATTCGGGCGCTGGAATTAGGTCGGATGATTGTAATGAGGGAAAGTATCCTCCTTTGAAAATTCCCGCAGGAATTGCTAACATTGCTATGCTGAATACGGTAATTAATATACTCGTATTTGTCTCCATTTTTTGTTTGCTTATATCTGTAAGCTTGAAAGTAAATAGATCTCTTTCCTGTTTCTTCCTCACAAGGTCTTCTGACACCAGTTATCTCGTGTTCGTCACTGTCTTCTCTCTGTCTTCACAATTCGCACTCTCACTCTGGATACCAAGCACATACTGGCTCACACCCCCCTCAGCCGGCCTTTTATACTGCTCTCTGCTGCCACGTAGTCACAGCGGTGTCACCTGTTACGCCACAGTGTGAAGTGCTGTTTCGTTACCGCGCGGGGTGCCACGTGGCGCCGGCGGTGTATGACGTGGCCTGTTACGTGGCACAGGCAGCGGCTCCTATGCTGTTACAGTGGTCCCATATCACAGCTGCTCTGCTGTTACGTCATCGCTGGCAACGAGTGTTACCGTGTCGTTACAGTCTTGTATATGTCAGAACCACATAACTTCTAAACCATACACCTTACCTCTAGACCACCGGACACCCTTGATATTTCCCAGCTATTTAGAGAACTTCTTTGCAGTACCCTTTTTAACTTTATATTTTGTGTGTTTATGTCCACTTGAAAGATCTGGGCTAGGTGGTCAGAAAACCCCATATTTACAATTTGTATGTAGTTCTTATTCAACTGTCTATTTGTAACCATGACATCCATCAAAGATTCCTAACTACTGGTAACTCTTGTTGGTACAGTAACTGTATTTCTTAAATCATAAGATACCAGTATATTTTCAAGTGCCTGTACCTACTCATTATCCTGGAGGTTTATATTCCAGTCTCCACAAGTTAGTTTTTTATGTATTCTGTCAACAAGTGTTTCGAGTGTGTCCAAAAAATATGAGCATCACTGCGAGGGGATCTGTAAACACAGAGCCTTTGCCATAACCGCGGAAACGCTGCTTTGTTGATTCCGCGATTCCTACGCAGCGACCCACTGTTATTGCGTTCTCTCTGTGGGAACGCCCGTGTATTCGTCGTAACCATGGAGATTCGATACAATATCGCTATTGTTACTTCCTATGCAAAGGTCTGTTCTAGCGTTTCCATAGGAGTGACTTCTGAATTCCAAATTCCAATTCTGGTTTTCAAAAGAAGCATGTTTTTACCTGTCACAGGTGTGACATATATATAATAGGTATATAAAAACACGCGCTCATTCGAATGCAACGTTGTATCAAAATTTCGAAGCAATCGGTGAAGAACTTTTGGAGATTTTCGAGGGGTAACAAACGAACATTTACATTTTTATTTATACAGATTACACAACGATATCAGTAGCTAGACTATATTAGTGTCGAATGGTACGAAGGCAGATGCAAGATGTATTGAAAACAATTTCTAAGGAAACAATTGTGGCCTAACCGAGGTACCATCCCGTAATTTTGCAGGAGGGACTGAGAAAGAGCATAAAAGTCCTCGGTCAGGGTAGTCAATGTCCTTGTTGAATCGATCACCTCCCTAATACAAGTCTATAGCGTTAACGCTGGGCCAGCTTGCTGTGGGCAGCCATATTTAAATCAGTGTCTCAAACTGTCAAAGGCGTGAGACAGAAAATTATGACCATTGCTTCCGTGGGGCCTGAAACCAAGAATGACTGTGCTGGCGAAGGCCAGCAGTGAGAGCCGGGTTTCAGTTCCGCTGTCATGAACAGGTGAAGGTGAACTCTCTGCGCTTCATTAAGCACCATTACATGAAGGCATATGGGGCAGTGGAGGTATAGCTGCAGGCATTCTTAACCTTGGCCCTAGATGCAGATGAGTGGTCAGTTTGACGTCCCGGGCGCCTAACTCCCGCGGTACAATTGGACAGGAGGCTGAGTGACCCCCAGACTCGGACGTCCAGGCCGTGGCCGGTCTCTATACCGACGGCACAAGCAGTAGATTGCAGCTCAGCTGCGAATGTAGGTTGTGCTTCCTATTGTAAGCTCGCCGGCAGAAGTGCCCCTTGTCCGCCCTCGTCCGTATCGAAATAAATCGATGAAATGTGGGAATCACTGCAAGTCTTTAATAAACTTCATCAACTGGATATTTATTTCACGACGCTTCCAGTAGCTAGATTATAGAGCACAGCATTGAAGAATGATGAATTGGTAAGAAGGTGGAAGCGCTAATGGTGTAATATAAGGCACTATTTTTCTGGATTCGAACTGAGCACCTCCCGATTAGTAGCCTAGAGCACTACTGCTGCTTCAGTCCGCTCGGTGAAACAACAAACTTCGTAAAAAATAATGGGACAGGTGGTTCAACTGAAGTTCGCAGATGTTTCGGAGTGGATTATCGCTTCCGTCTTGAGGAAAATGATGTAACGCAACCGAGCAACAAACACTGAGTTTGCTGCTGGCTCCTTGTTTGCTTGCTCTCCTCTTCTTTCCTGAGGATGGAGGCAGTTATTGGAGAACATCAGCCACGCTGTACAGCGTCACGTCACGGTCACCGCTGTGAGACACTCACCGCACTGCGGGAAACACGTTCAACTGTTTGTCATGTCGTTAGGTTGAGGTTATGAGGAGAAACGTGACGTCACATCATTACTGTTACTTACCGCCCCATGTCTCGCTGTGATTGGGCTAAATTGATTTGGAGTTTGAACTGTATATGATTGTCTAGTGACGAAACTGTGGTGAGGGGGGGGGGGCAGATTGCTGTCTACACAAAATTATATGATCTAGTAACGGGGCGCAACCGGGGCAGTCACCTTGAGACCTCCACAAAACAGAAGTAAAATAGTATTTTACTGAGACGTTTGTTTCTCTAACATTTCGATAAGTTAAGAAGTGTATTTCATTGTTTTAAGAAACATGTAGAAAAAAAATATTGTTACTGATAGGGGGCTCCACATTTTGAGTTCCCTGGAGCCCACACAACAATTTGCTAAGTTCAAATGTTAGCGGTTCGCTATGTCAGTGCTTGGTGGTTGTATTTGTTTCCACGGGGATCTCCATAACACTGATAGACGTTTAGAAAGAAAATCGTTATAAACAGCAGAAGTTGCAGAAAGCAGCCGTTGAAATAACAGGGGAACGGGAACGCTGTTGGACGTGCCGGAGGGGCGATGAAGAGTTTTTACAAATTTTATTAAAACTTCCCAATACCAAATCCCATAACCACACGTTCCTGGCTTCTCGAGTTCTTTCTTATGGACGGACAGACGGTGGACTTGATTTCAATAGGCTCTCCGCAATGTTCAACGTGTAAATGTAATTACAGCACCAATAAAGAGGAGGAATGCAAATGGTGGGGGGACAACAGAAATGGGGGGTGGTGGAGTGTGCGAGGTCTGGGTTCTTCGGAACTGCAATGTTTAATGCCATGTGACTCAGGGCACAAGCCAAGCCAAAGCCGGCGGATGTCAGAATCTGTAAAAAGATCACAGCGCTGCGTGTGACAACGATAATAAACGGATTTCCGTGTTTGGCCTGCGGAATTTCCACTAACAACCAAGTGTTCAAACAGTCCTTCCACCAGTTCACGAGAAGAAGGAATAATAAACATTATAAATCTGTCCCCAAACACAGTGGGTTTTGTAATGTCTGCAAAATGTGAAGGCCTGTGGCCTGAGGGTGTTGAGGAGAACATCTGGACCGAAGAGAGATGAAGTGACGGGAGGTTGGAGAAAACTGCATAATGAGGAGCTTCATAACTTGTACTCTTCTCCAAGTATGATCAGAATGATCAAGTCAAGGAGAATGAGGTTGGCAGGGCATGTAGCACGAATGGGGGAGAAGAGGAATTCATATAGGATATTGGTGAGTTAGTCAGAAGGAAAGAGGCCACTAGGAAGACCAAGACGTAAGTGGGTGGATAATAATGCAGAGATAGGATGGAGTGGTACAGGCTGGATTGATCTGGCTCAGGATAAGGACTAGCTCTTGTGAACACGGTAACGAACCTTCGGATTCCATAAATTTCTGGGAAGTTCTTGAGTAGCTGCACAAATGGCAGCTTCTTAAGAAGGGCTCAGCTCCATGAAGTTAGCTGGTCAGTTGGGGGTCCATGAAAAATTTTCTCTAAGTACACTCATTCACCTCCGTCTTTAATGCAACTTAAAACTGTTTACAGCCTCTCTTTATTTTAAAATAACATTAAAATCACATCAGTTGCTAGATGTTTCGGCCTTACTTGGCCATCTTCAGGCAATTGTTCCCTGTTTGAAACCGTCGCACTGCACTAGATCTTAAGTCAATATATTTCTTTGTTGTTGCATATCATAGTTCTCACTAAAACGTGTTTGTTTGAGAACGGAACTCTCTCCGTTCCGCGTTATTCTCCTTTTTTTCGGCGTCCATGTTTCTGCATCCTTCGTAAAGCTATCCCTGCGACAGGCCATGGAGACCCATAAGGTTCTGAGACGTCGAGGTCTCCACACTTACTAGACAATCGGCTCACAGGTGGCGGCGAGGTTGTCAGCCTTACGCGCCGGCCGCACTTTACTCCCAGGAAGATTCCTGGTACTCATTTCTGTCAGATGCTGAGTCGACCCCAGGGCCATAGTGCGGCTTGAAGGACTGGGTTAATTTCAAAATCCAGTGACTATCGGGAATCGAACCCACGACCTTGCCTCAACCAACTCCGCTACTGAGCCGGCTCTCCTCACTCTAATGTCTCTTGACGCAGGGGAAGGTGCCTTAAGTTGTATGACGGGCGCTGCTTACACGGGCATGCCAGTTCATTCTTCGCTTACCCCATCATTCGCCAGTCTGCAACATGAACTGTTTTTATCGCCATTTAATTAGCAAGTAGTTCTGAGAAGAATTCATCGTCTGCTTTCGTTTGATACGACACGGATCGCGCGACACACATACAGCCAGGCGATCTCGTAAATTCTCCCATTCTTTTTCATAATAAGGAAAGGAAGCTAAAACAGAAAACAAAAGACGTATTATAATTGAAATTACACTCTTCTGCCATGTCTTGACATTTAAAGGCAACAATTTGTGACGTTTTAAGAACGTAAGTTACAATGAAAACAC